CCAGCAGTACCCGAATACAAACACTGACATGTATAATTTATTGCACCGTGTCAAGGAGATTGAGAATAAGACAGGCAAGAAAATGGCCTTAAGTCTCATTTTACCGCAGAAAACTTTGGAGGAAAATAAAGAAACGATTTTGGTTGAACATAATTACTGCACACCCTTGACTCACATTGAACCAGTTGAACCAGAACAAGGAAATGGTAGTCCAGTGTCAACTGAACTGTTATCACCAGTGAAATGCCATCCAGTGAGTTTGGAAGAAATAAAGGAAAGGTGCATAAAAGTTAAGAAAAGGCTCTTTGCTGATGAAAAGGATGTTGATCAAATTGAAAAAGAAACCATGGGCCAATCAGTAAATGAAAACTGGAATCTGCATCGAAAAATAAGAATAACTGCATCTAAATGCCATCGAATTGCCACTCTGCAAGCAACTACCTCCCCTACAAAGGCCATTAGTGAAGTCTTACATTACAAGCAGATCCCTCAAACAATTTATATGAAAGAGGGCTTGTCAAGAGAAGGTGCTGTTATTGCAGAATACATCAAATCAAGGAAACTGAACAATCAAAATGTCCTAGTGAAACCATGTGGACTTTTCATCAGCAAATCACATAATTTCTTGGCTGCATCTCCAGATGGCTTAGTATACAATGCCGACTCCACTGAGCCAAGTTCCAGTGGACTTATTGAAATAAAACTTGTCTTCCTAAAGGAGAATGAGACTTTGCATGATGGACTTATCAGAAAAAGAATCTTTCTTCCTGGTTCAACTGATGGACAGCTGGTTATCAACCAGAAACACAAGTATCACTATCAAGTCCAGCAACAGTTGTTTGTTACGGAGAAATCATGGGTGGATCTGGTGATTAAGGGAGTTAAAGAGCTTACAGACAGATCATTTGTAGACATTGAAGGTGTTTTCATTTCGACAGTAAACTTTGATCGTAAATTCTGGAGTTCAGTGCTCCCAAAACTGGAGGCATTTTACAATGAGCACATTCTTGTAGAACTTGCTTATCCGTGTGTTAAATATGGCCTTTCAAGATTTGACATGAGAGGATGTTGACTGACGTACATAATTAATTTGCTAAACTGGTATGTTGTTGAACTTACTTTCCTACATTGGCCTTCGATGCCCACGAATAATGATTTTAATTCAAGGTTGGGGTGAACAATTTTCATTTGGTTTGATAAATTTACAATAACTTTGTCTGCGCCAGAATTGAATTGAAATCATTGTTCGTAATCACTTGGGTTGAATTCGGGAAAGTTCTATGAAAGGCATTAATAAGATAAAACTCACTCCATGTAAACAAGGCTGAACCTTAAATCTAAAATAATATCCCCAAGAAATTTAACGTGTGTAATTTACTTTGTGTGTATGGCTTTTTTTTAACAGAAGGAGCTCAAATACACAGATTATAATACATAATAATCAAAGTCTGAGTGAACAATCTTGCATATTATTGAAGATGAGGCAAATCAAGAAAGGTTATTAAATAAGATTCCACTATCTGCTTGGAGAAAAACATTGCTTTATGTACAAGTAGAAAGTGAAAAATTGTTGTATGGTTCCAGAAAGTCCATACTCACCATATGAAAGGGCTTCGAAAATCTGAGGGGAGGGGGACCCAACAGCCAAAGTTTATTAGGGAAAGTATGAAGGCAAACTAGAAATTCCGGGGGGGGGGGGGGGCGGCGGGGGTTGGAAGGGTTTAAATGAAAAAACCCTCCTATGGGGAAGTATGGACATTTCTGGAATCATGCATTACACTTTAATCAATGAGAGGTGGTAAAAGTTTGTAAGTACCCCTATGATTATAAACATGTCACTAGCAATAGGAGCCAATGTTAAAGGAATTCTGCTGTCAAAAATATGCCAGTTTTTCATCCTTTCAATACATCTCTCAATATGTATTCTCAGGCTAGCAATTTTTTTGTTGTGTGCCATTTCTTCTCTGCTGAACTGAGTTTTTCCTTTAAGAAAAGAAGGTATGTTTACAGTAACCCCTTTTGCAACAAAGTCATCTTGTATGTCAAAGCCTTTGTCTGCCATGACATCGTCCCCAGGATGCAAGTAGTCAATCACATGAGACATTTTGGTAAGCTCCTTGTCACTTATGCTACCAGTGTAAAGCTCGCTTAAAAATCCCAGGGCTCCAGTGGGCGAAAGACCAACTAGTCCTTTCATAGTTGTTGTTCCTTTATACGAGGAATAACACACTGACTGCATGTCAAGTGATGAGGGGCTCTCTGCTCGAATTTCAACAGCATCAATAATTAGAACTGTCCTTGGATAAAGTTCCTTGAAAATGTTTGGCATGAACTGATGTAGAAGCTCTCTCCTGGGGAGGCAAATTAAAGGCTCCAGTTCAATCCTCATAAACCGAATCCAAGTGTTAAACACAACAGAAACAGTAGTTTCAGAAACATTAAATCTGTGTGCAAGATCCATGGCCAGAAATCGAGGACAACATGGCCCCTAAGCATGCGCACTCCTAGCAATTTGTGGACTTTAAATATGGCAGCTTCATAAAAGCTTTGTATGAACTGTTTTGAAGTCTATTAATCCAAACAAAGCAGTAGGCCCTGATAATATTTTTCCTAAAGATCTTAAATTGGCACAGGACTCTGCTATTCAGGGTCTGCTAGAGGTGTTCAAAAAAAGCATGGACTGTTGTAAGTTCCCTCAACAATGGAAGGAGTCATTAGTTACACCTGTTTTTAAGAAAGGGAACAGGCTGGATCCTAACAATTACCGACCTATATCCTTGCTTAGTACACCAGGAAAGCTTCTTGAGAAGGTAGTGTGTGACTCACTTGATGATCACATGTTATCCAATGGCATTCTCACAGATAGACAATGGGGATTTAGGAGGGGCTATTCAACGGAGAGCCTCCTCCTTCATCTCACTGAGTCCTGGGGGAGTGCCCTGGATAGAGGCCATAAGGTTGGAGTCTTATTCATTGATTTCCGCAAAGCTTTTGATTGTGTCAACCACAGTATTCTTACTGAGAAACTCAAGGCTGTTGGCTTGGCAGGTGATATGTGGAAATGGATCAATGACTATCTCTCCAACCGTGTACAAGGGACTAGTGTAAGTGGGTCTAGATCTGATAGAATCCCCATTAGAGCTGGGGTCCCTCAGGGATCCTTACTAGGACCAAGATTGTTTGCATCTTATGTTAATGACCTCCCTGAATCTATTACCAGTGGAGAAGTCTATATGTATGCTGATGACACAACAATATATGTAGTAGGGAATACTGTTGATGAAATAACAACAGGGTTACAGGCTGTTTTGGACCAGGTTAATTCCTGGTGTCTTAGTAACAGATTGATTCTACATGAAGGTAAATCCGAGGCAATGGTCTTAAGTACTACCCCCTTCATAGGTCCTTTGAAACAGCTGAAGTGGGGTATGGACACCATTCGGTATGTGTCCTCCACCAATTGCCTTGGGGTTACAATTGATGATAAACTCTCTTGGTCTCAGCATGTTGCATTGGCTAGATCTGCATTTAATGCCAAAGTTAAAATGTTGAGACGTATAAATTTCCTATGTACATCTATCTTGGAGACTTTTTACTATAGGATAGTTATACCAAGTGTTCTATATGGAATTGCAATTTGGGGGTCTGGATCCAAGCTTAAAGATCTAGAAATGATTCACATCAGGGCTGCCAGGCTAATTCATAAGATACCAAATAGTTTTGGGGATAATGATGTACTTTCTAAGGTTGGCTGGATGCCTTTAGAGTATTTTTATAAGCTACGTATCTTAACTATTACATATAATGCTTATTATAATTTAGGGTTGCGGGAAATTAATTGTTTGGTGACCAAGAACTCTAACAGTTATAACCTAAGGAAATCCCTGAATGTTGTACTTAATAGGCCCAAAACCGAATTGGGTCGTAGGTCCTTTGCTCATAGATCTGCAGTAGCATGGAATGCACTTCCCGATAATGTTAAAGATTCTCCAAATTTATCTATTTTTAAATATAACTTAAAACAATCCAAGCAAACTGTTATGAATATTAATTTTGAAAAGGGAGGTAATGTTATACAAAACATGAAACCAAATTTTCACTATTACTAAAACTTTATGGTTTACTTGATTTATTCAACTTATAAATTTTATCATATCTGTATTTTATATAATTATAGACTAATTAGTTTAGGCAGGTCCACATCAGCTGTAAAGTTGCGCAAATTTTAACCTGCGTTATCAAATAAAGTTATGTATGTATGTATGTATGTATGTATGAGAGAAGTAAGAAATCCATTTGTAATTAAATCGTACATGTGAAAAGTCAAGTTCCACACATCTAAAACATGATAAAACACCCTAAACATACCTCACGCAAAGTCGCTCGCAGTAACGACGTGCCAAAATTCGGCAGCAGTGGACCATCTTTTGGGCTTTTCGTGGCGACTTAGCGGTCTTAAATTGGTAATTGATTACATACTTTCATTCCCAACAAGTTTGCCGTACGTGTCCATGAACCAACTCCACACATCTTAACTTCCTCTACGAAGGTTGCTCCTCAATTCCACAGCTATTTGAAAGCTCGTAAGTTCTCCAACATTCGGCGAAATAGATCTGAATAATGCGGAAATTCAAGTTTCGAATGAGAGCATCTCGCTGAGAAAATTTGGCTGCAAAGCGGTGCAAACATGTGTCTTAATCATGACAAGAAAACCTCCGAAATCGGTGTCAACAAACCGCCATTTTGTGAAGCTTTAATAGGCAATTACCGCTGTTTAAGAGCCACTGAAGGCTCCAGAAACGTGATAAAATGCAAATTTTTTGCTGTTTATGGCCTTCGCACAATTCCTGTAGTGTGAAATTAAGTCTCAGAACATTGATTTGGCTTGGAACTAATTCGTTTATTAGTAGACGTAAAATTTAAAATTATAGAATGTCTGACAGACCTCCACTGGAATCCTTTTTAAAATGGAAATTGAGCATCGAAAGCCCCTCTTTAAATTATGCTGCAAAGGCAGTCACAAAAAATGTCATTGTGGCAGTGGATATTCCCTATCCATTGATAAAGGCTTGGCATGAATTCCTAGGGTTGCAGAAGAAGGTTAGAAAGACAGCTGCTGTGGCAAGTCAGCCTAATCAGTCAGCATCAACTAGCAGTGATCTAAGTCCTGCAGCAGTCCAGGAATACACCTATGTTGACCTTTTTGAGTATTGTATTCCTCATCATACCTTTGCCATAACTGCTGATGAGCAAATACGAAAAGAAGTAAACAATACCCTTGCAAAAATTGCTGGAATGGTCCAGAATTTATATGCAAAGGCCAAAGGAGGTAGCAAGAGAGAGGAACTTAACTCAAAAGTGAGAAGATTCCACATTTTTGAAGGACAAACACTTTCAGTAACTTGCTTGAGGGAAGAAACTGAGGCTATTAGAGATGAACTGGAGGAGTGGAAGCAGAATTACCAGCATCTTGAAGCAGAGAGTAAACAGCTATTTGCAGAAATGTATTTAGCCATTCAAGAGAAGGAACAAAGTTTGTCTAACCTTCAGTCAAAGAATGAAGAACTCCAACATTACTTCGAGAAAATTGAAAATTCAGACAAAACTTATGTGGGGAAAGATATATCAGAGGTGAAGAAGAAGTCTCGCACTTTAAAGGAATTTATGTGTAGAGCCAAAACTGCTTTGTGGTTTGCAAAGTCATTTGGACTGGAACTAGAGTCAATGACTATGAATGAGCAAAAGACTGGCATCAGTCACACAGTAATGGCTGAAGACCAGATGTCAAATTACAATGGGAACTCAAATGCATTTGACTCACTGTCTGAAGAGGAGAAGTCCAAAGTAGAAAAGGTGCTATTTTTATTAGATAAATTTTGTGTTGGAGACAACTTTTATCATGAGCTTACAATGGTAGTTGATGGCTTGCCAAAGTCATACCTTGTAAAGCAAAGGAGAAGTCAGCTGAATGACATCTGTCATATCACCTCCACCCCCGGTGAGACGGAAGGGGCACAGACATCATTCACTGACCTTCTGAGAGACAGGGTTCAAGACTATGTGGCAAGCCATCCACATGTGGATCATGTACAAATCAAAATTTCAGGGGATGGGGCGAGAATGACCAGAAATTCTAGTTTCATACTTATGAGTTTTGCCCTACTCCATTCAGATGATGAAGTTATGGCAGCAAAAGGTAACCACACCATAGCTGTTGTGAAGGGTAAAGAACACTACAATACCTTAAGGCAGTCATTTGAAGATGTCTTCAAGGACATCAATTCTCTTATAAGTAAGAAGAAAATAGAAGTGGGTGGCAAATCAATTAATTTGGAATTTTTCCTAGGGGGCGATTACAAATTCATTTTACTTGTGATGGGTTTGAAGGGTGCTACCTCACACTATGCATGTGTATGGTGCAAAATACACAAAGACATGAGGTGGGACACAAGCTTCAATTTAGACCATTATCAATCTCCAGATCTAAGGAGAACTCTTACAGAGATGTTTGAACTAGTAAAGAAAAAGAAACAAAATGACAAATATTGCTGTGAACATGAGCCTCTACTTCATATAGAGCTCGATCATGTAGTGTTGGATGAACTGCACCTTCTATTAAGGATTTCAGATGTTCTCATAGAAAATTTGGTTCGGGATGCCTTAGACTGGGACAGAAGCAAAAACTGGGACAAGAGGAAATGTCAACAAAAAAATGAACACCTAAAAAATTTGCAGGCAGCAATTCGATCATGTGGGGTCTCCTTTGACATATGGGAAAAAACAAATGCTGATGGGAAAGGGTCTGGGCAATACGATTTTACTAGCCTCTTGGGGTCAGACAAGAAAAAATTGCTTAATGAACTTCCAACCAAACTCAATGGGATTATTCAGCCAGATACAGTTGAAGTAGTAAAAACTGTATGGGAAAAGTTTAGGGAAATATATAGCACTGTAACCTGCAGGAATCCCTCCACAGAAATGATAAATGACTACTTCTGGAAAGCAAAGGAATGGGTGAATCTGTTTACATCACTAGGAGAAAAAAGGCATGGCTATAAAAGAGCTAATGTAACCCCATACATGCATGCTATGGTCTACCACATTCCCATATTTCTGCAAAACTATAGAACTATCAAACTGTTTACAGGGCAAGGAGTTGAAAAAAACAATGATATGGCCAGGGCTATAGTTCACAAAAAATCTAACAAATGGGATGCTCCTGCTGACATTCTTAAGCTTGAGTCCAGACAATGGAATCTACGCGACAGTGAGCGTGCAAAGAGAACCTACAGTAAAAGGAAAAGTTCCTATTGGGAACATGATCTCAGGGAAAACAGGAAGAGCAAAAGACTACGAGAGAAGAAAAATTAATAATGCCACCTGTGAATTGTAGTAGCATATCTTGTATATAGGTCAGAGATTTATTAATGGTAGGATTGACATGATAGTAAAACATTGTCATTTATTCTTAAGGTACAGGTATTTACAATTATATTGAGACAGAAAGAGTATACCTGCATCAAGAGTCTCCGATATCGAAACGCGCGCAATGCATTCTGGGATCGTCTCATATAAAAAGTGGGCACCAAGCGTGACAGCGGCCATCTTGATAACTAAAGCATCGTCAACATTTATACACTTTTACCTCGCGATTTTACAATTTTTTCCAGTTTAAATTAGATCATAGTTTGTATATAGTTTTAATAATAGTTTGTATATAGTTTTCACTAGTTTGTATATAGTTTTCATATAGTTTTCTCGTCGTTTTTGGCGTGGAAATGAGCGAGACAAGTGAGCTTTCCCTCGAGGAAGTCAACACATGGAAGGTGGACGCTCTCAAGTTATTTTGCCGTAAACGAAATCTTAAAACTTCTGGAGCTAAAGCTGAACTTGTAGCCCGTGTGTTTGCAGCATCAGAGATGGGAATCCAAGTACAAGCATCGGCTAAAGAACTAATGTGCATCACGGAGTCTGAGAGAGCGAAGCTATTGTTTACTCCTGAGGGCAGCAAGCTTCCCGATCCTCTTGGGCTAAAGGACGGATGGATTGATGAAAAAGATGGGCTAACATCATGGCCTCCTATATTTCTAAGTGACATTACGAAATATCTGATGGCTGATCATCCTGGAAAGGATATTAAACTGCACGAACGGGTCATGAATGAGTACAAAGAGGGGAAAGCATACCGCTTATTTGACTCGGGCTTTCTGAAAGAAGTTTTCTACCATGAACTAGAAAATATGGATTTTTGCTTCTTGAAAGCAAAATGTACGCATTCGATGAAGGTTGGTGATACACCACATACATCATGGATTTGTTCAAGAAAAAATGGAGAGATTATCAGTGCCTACTGTACCTGTACTGCTGGGTATGTTAGACTTTCTGTTTTATAAGACTTTAACTTGTAACTGATGCAAAATATAAGCCTAAAATATCATGTTTATCATATACCTCGATTTTATGACTAATGTTGTTGGTCTAAGCTCAATATATATTATACTTTAGAATGTTTAAAATATTATGTTTATCATATACCCTAACTATTTGTTATTTCTTGTTTCAGTATGAGTGGTTCTTGTATTCATGTGATGGCACTGCTGTTCAGAATTGAAGCAGCAAACCGTAATGGTATGACAAATCCTGCATGTACGTCCAAAGAGTGTGTGTGGAATGTTCCAATAGGAAACAAGACTGTAATCAAGCCCTCTAGAATTTGTGATATGGAGTGGAAGGCTTCAAAGCTAAATAAAGGTATGTTATTATGTTTAAAATTCTAAACAAAGTATTTACAGTATGTATACTGGATAGACATAAGTGTTATCTGGGGACATAAATAAGAAAGTTCTTATTAGCTTGTAACCTAGCAATTAATTTACTTTTATTTTGTGTTTTTCTAGAGACGACCAGACCTGCCATCGATAGTCGCCGAAAGTTATTCAATTCACATGAAGAGTTGAAGCCCCTGACTCCAAAAGGAAAGAGGAAGTCGTTTTATAATAATTTGAAGGACTTGTTGCCAGAATCGGCATTCATCAAATTAGCAACGGCTGAGTTTGAGGAACCGTGTTCCACTTCCGTTACAATAGAAATTAATACTGAAGTACCTGAATGTGTAATGCCTAAGTCATCAAAGAAAGACTTAAGTGCTGATGATATACATCTGATTGAACAAGGCACCATTGGTCAGTCTGAGAATGAGGCATGGCACGATTACAGAAAAGGCCGATTAACTGCCTCTAATTTCTATAGAGTGTACACAAAAGTTGAAACCCTTAAAACTAAGGGGGGTGATGCACAGGAACTAGTGGACACAATCCAGGGTAAAAGTAATGGACCGTCGGAACATTTACCTGCTCTAAAATATGGAAGAAACATGGAGAAAGTTGCTAAGGATAAGTATGTGAAACTGTTTCAGAGGGAGCACAAAGATGCAAAATTCAGAGAGTGTGGACTATTTATTGATGAATCTGACCAATTCATTGGAGCATCCCCTGATCTTCTTGTTGAATGTTCCTGTTGTGGATTAGGGGTGCTAGAAGTGAAGTGCCCTTATTCTATTGTTAATGATTTACCATCAGAAGACAATCTTTCCTACCTGGTAAAGATTAATGGCAAAATTGTCTTGAAAGAGAAGCATGCATATTTTGCACAGATACAGGGACAAATGGCTGTGACAAAGAGAACATGGTGTCACTTCCTGGTCTACACCCAAAAGGGTTATCATCTGGAGCTAATCAAGTTCAATAATGATTACTGGGAAAAGATAAAGCAAAACCTAATTTGGTTTTATAATAAGTATTTAAGTGAATGAATGCTCGTTAATTATAACTTGATACAAAACTTTATTTACATGGTGTAAACACTAAAAATACATTTGTACATTTTATATACAATTTAGAATTTTTACAATTTCATATCTGGAAAAACTGGTCTGACAGTTCTAAATTGAACTCAAATAGTCTCTGAATAGAACAGTAAAATTGTCTGTTGTGGAAACTGGAATGGATGAATCAAATCATGAAATTTTATACAAGTAATGCATTGACCACACTTCAGTATGATTGAAAATGTTACAGTTTGATATTGTTTGCAGTTATATATATAGTAATAATAAATAATATATTATTTATTTGTGTTCAGCGACACATGAGCTGTGAAATGAAGAAAAATATTTACAAATTATATCTAATGATTGTAATCACTCTACCAGAATAATTTTTCTCTTGTGAGGTCCTTGTGGTGCAAATAATATAACAGTTCTTATTCAGAGTGCACATACTTAATAGCTGAAGCATTAAATGGTACTAAATCATACTATTACTTAATTTTCTTGTTATGTACCATTATCAACACTATTTAGTATTATTTGGTACCATTTGTATGAAAGATTAAGTGATTGCACTCTATACTAGTTGCTAGTAAAGTAGAGCAGAGATTTTGAATAACATTTAACCTAAGAAAGAACTTAGACTAATACATATTGGTATCCTCTAAATTTATGAAGTTTATATTCTTTCATGGGTTAAATGCTGTCAATCTTTTTAGCTATTTGTACATTTCTTGTTAATCATTTTTTACCCAAGGGTCTATACAAGTTACATAAGGCTGCACAAATAAGTACAATGTTGTCTATACTGCCAAGCAGTGATATTGGTAGTTCATGCTTTATCAGTCTAAACGTCTTCAACCGTCTTATTGCTTGCTCAACAAAGATTCTAAGATTTGCAATTTCTTTTGTTTTAGCAACTTCAGCTTTAGTGAACTGCTCTTGTCCACGTTTACCAGGGGGGATGTGTAGTCTTGAGCTTCTGATTAAGAGGTCTTCAGCAATTGTGAATCCACGGTCTGCCATCACTTCATCGCCAGGTTCAATGATATCATAAAATGATGATTCTCTTGTCAGATGCACATCTGAAGTTCTCCCTCCCCATGCTTTGGATAAGAAATTGAAAAAACCATGTGGTGTTATTGATACCAACAGCTTAGCAGTGTTGTGATGCTTGTAGTCTGACCACGTAGCTGCTCTAAGGTTTGGGTCGCTTGGGGTTTCAATAAATATTTCTGTGCAATCAATGATGTGGCGTACATTAGAGTAGCCTGGCTTTTTAAACTTTGCGGGCAAAGTTGCTTTCACAACATCGATGGAGGGATTGTAAACCAAACATTTAAGTTCACTTGCTAGGATTTTCACCCAGGTAGTAACAACATTTGTTACATTTGTAGTTGAAATTCCAAACCTCTGTGCTAAGTCAGCATTTGTTGATCCAAGTCGAAGTTTCATTAAGGTCAAAAGAAACTCATCTTTTTCTGACAAAGCTCTTTTAGGGCCAAACTTATTTGGTGTTTTTTTGAAGTTTCTTCCTTTTTTAGCAGATTTTTTTGGGCCACTCCAGTAGTTTACTTTTTTAATGTTTCCCTTCACTACTTCAAACAACTTATTGAATACTCGTTTTGATGGTAGGCCGGTTAGTAGACGAACAGATGAATTTGTTTTCAAATCAGAATGTTCTAGTCCCTTACGCTGTCTGGCCTTGAGTTTTATCTTACATGCTTTGAGTTCACTTTCAAGTTCTTGGAGTTTTTCTTTGAGATCTTTGATCTCATTGAACTGCTTGAGTCTTTCCTGCAAGCATTTTTCTTTCATACAGAAGTCAGGATCTTCTAGGTTGTACCAGCCAAACGAATATGCATGATCGTGAGTGATATGGTCGGGTCGACCGGCAGTAGTACAATGTTCTTCTTCTGTTATAAACGAGGAACTACTTGGTTCTTGAATCACAGGAGCATCTTGACTATCATGTGCATTATCTTGAGTATCATCTTGAATATTATCTTGTGTGTTATCTTGAGTATTATCTTGAGTTCTTAAACGTTTCATTTCTTCTAGTAATGATGATCTATCAGTAGGCGGTTTACGGTTACGAGTAGACTTTGTCTCGTAGCCCATTTTGAGTACAGGATCAGGGTTTTCTTTCGTGGGTTTCCCATCAACAAAGTGCTCATTGCAGACTCTCGACGAATTATTAGGTTGCCAGACTTCTCCTTTCGGGCCTTTTCTCTTTAGAAGATGGATCCAGCGCTTTCTACCCTCATTGTTTTTGCGTTCAGTAGGGAACGGAAATAGCTTGAACGGCAGCGGACAGTCACATGGCGGAGTGCCGTGTAAACAATCGTGAACTTCGCATTGCTGTGAAGCCCATTTCTCAAGCTTTTTCCCACTGTTATGGCACCCAAATACTGCACAATTTCTGTGCCCAAAGACCATGTCATTAAACGGCTGCAAAGTAATAAAAATACGATGAGAATCTTTGACTTTTGACAGTTCTTGTATTCGCGAATGTCACTCGCGCGCAGGATTGAATCTACTACCATTAAAAGCTTAAAAACAGCTAAAACAAAGTTAAAATTTGTAACTTACCTTTTGAATATAATACCCACGAAGATTATTTTCCAGTTGATATCACTTACAAGAACAAAAAGACTGTATTATAGATAAAGAC